CGGACGTCAGCTCTTGCATGAACCCCGATCATTGCCCAAGAATTTAGGCCCAACCCTTCACCACCAAAGCAGGTACCCAAAAAGTCGACTTTTTGGGTACCTCCCGGGTTTACCATCGGACGTCATCTCTTGCATGAACCCCGTAATGCTGAACCCTCGTCCCCATAAAGGATATCATTGCCCAAGAATTTAGACCCAACCCAGCACCACCAAAGCAGGTACCCAAAAAGACAAAGCCTAGAGCATTCCTAGGAAAATGCCAGAAAAGCCTTTGAAAATCTCATAAACCAACAGAAAACGTGACAAAATCTACGAAAAAGCAAGGGCATTGGCCGGGACCATGCCGCGACCAGCCCGGGATTCGAGCCCAGGACCATTTTGGACCGTGCTTATTTTCCCGCGCGGGTCGAGAGGGTGCCCCAAGATGTAAATCAATTGGGATGGCAGAATCCACCTCGCTTTCCTGGAGAATTCCAACCGGATTTCGTCACTGCAACAAGGGTCCGGAGGGGTAGGGGAGGTAAGGTCTAGGTCTAAGGCTAAGGTCTAGGTCTAGGTCTAAGGCTAAGGCTAAGGCTAACATCGACAGTCACGCCTCACCCCACGGTGTGGGGTCGGCGGATTATGTGAATATATGTGACATATCATATGTGGCTTTTGTTCAAAGATGTGTGTGTGTAGTTAAAGTACATCAGTTGAGTGAGGATAGAAATTCGATCAGACAGTGGAAATAAGTAAGCCATTTATATACAATCCACGAGGATGGACCAGGCTGCAGCACGTGTGTTCTTCATCTCTCTGGAAGGATGTTGTGCAAGGCTGCAAGGCTTTTCACTGGCTAACGGGACCTTTTCGTGTCATCTCGTAATTCTCAGCTAGTCTTGACACTACATCACTGGACCTTTGGAAGAGGCCTTCCGTCGCCTTGCGTGTCGCATATTTGGTTTCGCATGTTTTCACATCGTCTCGAATCAGGTTCAAAGACTTGTGTCCAGAAGTCGTCGAGGACTGCGTTGCCTCATAAGTTCAGATTTATGGTGAGGAGGCAGACACTGATTTGCGGATCGTGACGCTTCTTGAGGAAATTCGAGAGTTCAAGAACTTGGCTGGGAAAAAAATAATCACTTTGATTCAGGCCAGCCGGGCGGCGTGATAGAAGATACAAGACCAAGTCCGAAGAAGACAGAGATGAAAGATGTCGGTAAGAGATGAAAGGGGTGAAAGGGAGCCTTACCTCTCTTTGTTTTCATGTTTGTGTCAGACTTCATTTTACTCAACACCAGTTGGGAGGGTCTTGAGCTCCAAATGTTTCCTCAATGCATCTTCTCAGAAGGAAGAGACCTTGACAAGAAACTGGTTCTGAATTGATTGTCCAGACCTCGTCAACGGAATAAAGTTTCAAACACCCTTTGTCCTACTTAGTATATTTGGCCACTGTGCAATGGTCACATCAAGGGTTTGCATGAAATTGTAAGTTCCGCTCAACTGTTGGCCAAGAATTGCTGAAGGTACCGACTCCCTTTTTTTTGAGAACGGGGACGGGAAAGTACCACGTTGTTCGCTGCCAGCACACTCAGATTCAATTATGGTATAAAACAGCATTTTCTCGATATGCGAGGGGGATCGTAATGCATGTCCTTCATTGCTCAATAAAGATGGGAAAGCTGAAGTTGCAAAACAGCTGCTGCGCAAGGTGTCCGAAGTAGCTGCCGGTCCAAGCAAGAGCAAGAAAGCTGGAGCCCCTGTAGACAATGAAGAGTTCTACAAAGTCACAGATGCAATTGAGTATCCTGGGGATCCAGAGAGATTGCTGAGACACCTGGATCCCGGGAGTGTGGGCTATGTTAACACCAGAACTTTGAGAATTCTCAATGAGCAGAAGAGCGAAGAGAAAGCTGTTCCGCAATTCCTGAAAAAGTATGCCGAGCATCGGCAAGCTCTTCTGGATCAAAAGATTGCTTCTGTGGTGATACCGCCAGCGAAAGAGTTGCTAGCGAAGCAAGATACTTTGCGAGAGAACTGCTTGGAAGAGTGGCACACGAAGAGAGAAGCTCGAAATGCAAAGGGCGACTTTATTAAGGCCCTTACCAACAAATTTGGCAGCCACTTGGCAAGTGCACTGAATGTCTGGTCCATTCATGCACAAGTTGCATCATGTTAGATTACGGATTACGTGAATGTTTCGGCGCACATTCAATAATGTTGATACAGATTCGATTCAATCATTTGTTTGCTTTTGCCATTTGCTTTTGCTATACTAGGCATTGCAAAAGCATGGCGACTTGCCTTGGATCCCGAGCTGAAGTATGCGATTGAGAATGTTGATCAATTAATGAAGGGTCTTAAAAGAGCTGGGCAGATGCCGCCAGATGGGGGAGAACATGCACTGCGAACCATTGCGGAAAGATTATTTCAAGCGTGCCAGTCAAAGGAAACCGAGCAAATTACACTGGATTGTTTGGATCCCAAAACGCCAGCCATGATGGAGAAGTTCAAAGATCGCTGTGAAGAGCGCTTTGGAAGCCTTCAAGATGCTTTTGAGAGCGTCGATGTGGAGGGTGTTGGGATTGTTTCGCGCGAGGATTTTCGGTTACTTTGCCATGAAGTCAAAGCTACGGATGGGATTTTCCGGCTGATGGAATTCTTGGACCCAAAGCGCACTGGGGAGATCCGGCTGTCACTTATTGATGGTGAGGTCACCGAGGATGCCATGCTTGCAACACAGACTAGGCGCCAAATGCAAAAGTCTCAGGCCAGGAATTCTGCTTGTCAAATGTCATTTGCTTCTGGCCCTTTCCTTCCCATTCAGTTTCCAAACAATTTTTCCCTGGTGCTTTGTAAATATCTTAGTGATTCGAACTCGAAGCGTACGGTTTGTTCAACACAGACTTTCTTTGACTTGCAGGAGCACTCGGCAGGAGTTGTAGCCGGCCTGGAACAGGCTACTCAGGACAGAGTGTTGACTTAGTCAGCTTGGCCAGCTTGTTCTTCGTGTTTGCAAAATCGGAGAAGGAGAGCGAATTGATGTTGCATGATTGCATGATTGTAATTGTGCCATTCATGAATATGTCCACTGTTTGAAAGACTTCGGGCCATACCACACACATGGCTTCTCCATCAGTGAGTAAATCGGCCCTGGACGCACAAAGCACCAAACTAAGCCTTTTCATGCCTTTTCTCAATAGTCAAACGGAAAGAGCGTGTTCTTGAGGAAACAACAGTGTCACAGAATGGTTCCTTCAAGGAGTAGTACCTTGAGCATGCTTAAGGACCTAAAGGCGTGCAAGTATCTGCAAGTGGGAACCACTCCAATGATTCTTTCAGGGCGAAAGCAGATGATATTTCTGGAGGACGACAAGCGCACATCACTGCTTTTGAGCATGACGGCATGATGATGATGATGATGATGATGATGACAAGGGCTGTGAGTGGTTCAAAGCGCATATGACGCCATGGAGTGGTGAACACGCTCTTCCTTGACTGGCGCTCCAGTGCCACGTCATCTTGCTCCTGGACGGCGGCCGCGGCTGTACTCAGCTGCTGAGCTCGGCTGCTTTTGGGCCGCTGCTTTGGAGCCTCTTGGCCTGGGTGGGGTACTACCTGACTTACACCTTCCCCACTTCACGACCCGGACATCGATTCGGGAGAAGAAGATTTTGCTTGCACCACGACTTCACTTCTGTGTATGACCACTCAGTTGGGTCCCAATTCCCAGCCTGGCAGGAGCTTTACCTGTTGGGGGACCTTCTAGATCCTCCTCACCATGACTACTTTTGCTTTCAATATTCACGCTCCATGCTGGCAGCCCGAGGGTTAGCCATCGAAGGTGGGGGAGTCCGAACACCTGGTGCTCCTGTTGGTTCGACATCATGGACGAAGCATGATGGCAATGACCTTCCTAGAACTACGGCACTCCAGATGAACAGGAATTCCCAACAGCACAGGAAAAATCATACATCAGAGCATTGAAACGAGCGACATTGCATGGTATGACCTGGTGCAAAGGACAGTATATGACTGCATCCCAACTTGGCGTGAATGCACATGCCTGGTGTTGCAATCCAACTTCAGTATCAGCTACACCTGAACCTCCTCCCTACAGCTCCCCATTGAGCCAGAATCGTCGACCGTCGGTGAGATTTCGACAGAATCGACTGTCCTTCTTCTCCTGGAATATAGGTCAGTTGAACATGTCCAAATGGGACCTTTTCAGGGCTTGGCTTTACCAGCAACCCATCGACTGCGCCTGCTTGCAGGACGCCGGTTGGCAGTTCACAGGTGAATGGAAAGATCAACAATTCTCCTACATCCACTCAGGAGCTCAACATCACAGAGGTGGTTTGTTGACCATCGTGAGGACTGACTTTTGTTCTGATAACAACATTGCTTGGACCACACCGATGGAAAGCAGGATACAGCATGTCAGACTATACAAACATACCTACAGCATCGACATCCTGAACCTGTATCAGTTTCCATTTAATACGGCTGACACCGACTGTGAAATGCAACGCTCCGCTTTTGGAGGACCTTGGAACACACGATTAAGGCCCTCCCAAAACGCAACTGCTGGATTGTTGGGGGAGACTTCAACACAAGCCTTAAGCGTCAAACCAACTGTGTTGGCCTCAGTGACTTTGCCACTCCTACGGGTAGATCTAAAGGTACAGTCCACAAAGATGCACACATCCTGCAACGGCTCCTCAAGGACTTCTCCATGGTTGCACTCAACACCTGGACACCGGATCTTCCTGCTACGTATCGAGGCCCCCGTCACGCCTCGTCAAGGATTGATTTTATTTTGATCCAACAGAGAGATGGGGATCCTACTGCCAAACATGTCAGTTACTTGCAGGATCTTCCTCACATGATGGGCCTTCATGAAGACCACCAACCCATGCTGTGTGGCATTAGGCGGTTCTACCATCATTCCAAGCCACAGGGGCTGAGTCGGATGCAGCAACAAACCCTTCAGTATCACTGGGCTCAGGACACACAGGATTGGAGGGCATTGTTGGCCAACCTACAGAATGAATTGGCTTTGTGGGACCCGCACTCTCCAGATCCCAATGCTCTCAATGCCACCTTGTTGGACGCCTGTCGAACATTCCGCCCATCTCATCGACCGGCTCAGGATGGATGGCTCACTAAATGGCAATGGGCACTAGCACATCCTCCAGCTCCAAGCTGGAAACCCACGACCAGACGGCAGCTTCTTGACTTTCTTCAGGGCTGGCAATGGGTCACACATGAACAAGTGGAGGAAACAGACTCGTACTCTTGCCCTTCACCATCGTAGAGCAAGGGTTCAGAACATCATTGATACTGCAACCTTGTACTGGGCAAACAACAACACACACTACTACCTCAAGACCTTCAACAACCTGACTCCTAAAGCTTATGCACAAAAACCCCATCTCCGAGGTTCACATGGCCAACTTCTCTCCCCAGAAGAGGAACTTCAGGAACTGGACAGTTACATGAAAACCTTGTGACATGACAACCCGGTCCATTTTCCTTCGTTCAATCTGCCCCCGCTCACGGTGACAGCGGATGATATAGCCACTGAACTGAGCCACTTGGAAGGACGTAAGGCCGTACCACAACACATTGCACCAAGCTTTCTCAGGAAGGAACTCGCCTCTACTCTTGGGGAACTACTGGCGGGCTGGTGCTCCACATGGTTTTGTGAAGGACACCTTCCTGAAGAATGGAGATGCGGCTGGATCGTCTTTCTGACCAAACCCAACAAGGCGCCAACACAACCTAACGCACTACGACCTACAGCACTGCAAACTCCTATTGCCAAAAGTCTCATGTCAATTTTTGTCAACAGAGCCAGACAGTATGCCCTTCCCACCTTGCGGACGTTCCCACGGTTTGCATACTTGCCTGGACGTGGAACATGGGATGCCATATGCCGTGTTTTCCATCATGTCCAAGAAGTGGAGCAGCTCAGTGAACGATGGAAATACAATGCAAGTCGTACAGATTCCCAAGCCTCACGGACACGCCCTTTGGTATATGGTGGGCGTCAGCTCTTTTTGGACCTAACACAGGCTTTTGATCATAGGCCTCGTGCGTCCTTACAACAAGCGTTTGAACTGCTGAATATTCCATCAAGCATCATGGGCGTCCTACTTCAATGGCATGTTGACACAACATACATTTTGACGTACAAAGGTCATACCTGCACTGTCAATACATACAAGGGTGTACGACAAGGTTGCCGTGGCGCCCCCTTCTTCTGGGCCTCTTTTGTGGCCTTGATCCTCAACGAGGTAGCAAAGCTCACCTCAACAGCCTGGATGCAAGACTCCTGCACATTCTACGCAGATGATGGTCATCTGGGTTTTCGATTCACAAGCATGGCTGAACTTCAGCAAGGCTTAAAGTACATGGGCCACGCCTTGGATACACTGAGTAAATTTGGGATGACCGTCAACCTGAACAAATCAGCTGTACTCCTGGACCTTCATGGAAAACAGAAAAGCGCGGTGCAAAAACAATACTTGCGCCGTCGATTGTATCAACAAACATTGCAGATTCCAGGGTCTACTCAGATGTATGACATTCCACTCAAGACTTCACACGACTACTTGGGAGTGAAGATCAGCTATCAGCAAACCCAAACCCTGTCGATGAAGCATCGTTTGGCATCATGCAATCACAGATTTCGGCAGCTGCTACCTTGGTTCAAGAAGGGGAATCACATCAGCATGGCACAGAAATGCGAACTATGGTACACCTGTCTGTTCCCCATCTCCATGCACGGCATTGACGCCATTGGAGTGACGGATAGCACCCTTGTCCTGTTTCAAAGGCAGATGATGAGTCAGCTTCGTCACATAGGAGGTGATCACTCCTTCCTGACCAGCAATTCTCATCGAGCATTCCTGCGCACACATGGGCTGGAGCACCCCATTGGTGCCCTGCATCGTCGACTGCTCTCCCAATTGAACCGGTGGGAGGAGAGACAAAAACAATTGCCACAGAATCACATCCTTCAGAACTCCAGCGTTTTGCACTTACGACAAGCTCTTGAATTCACACAGATATGGCTGCAGGACTTCACGGCGCAGAGCCTGACAATGATGGTCCTCAGCAGCTTGCAGAGGCCAGCCTGGAATGTTCAACATGTGGCACGCAGTTCAAACATCACTTCACTCTCCGCAGACACTTGGTCCATGTACATGGGATTGCAGTCCTACAGGGCCCTACATTGAGCATTGCACGGGACACCATTGATGGACGCTGTATATGTAGACGCTGCGGTGTAGCGTTCATCAGTTGGCAAAATCTAAGACATCATATTCAAACGTGCTCTTGTCCTGGTCTTGATTCGACCAAGCCCCCACCATTGATCCTGCAGCAACACCGCAGACGCTTGCTGGACATCTATGACTCCGGAGACCTTCAGCTGCTGAAAGAGGATGGTAACCTTAGCACCTTTCTCACACATCGATGTGTTCTTTGTGGCTACTGGGCAGCACGGACGCAACAGATGAGCGCGCATGTCAGTAGAGACCATGCTGCCTTTATCATCAATCAAGTGTTGCCCAACATCACAAGGGCTCGGGTTCAATCACCCTGTGACTACTGCAAAAAGGAATTCAAATCGAAGACACATACCTGTGCAGTCATGAAGCAGTTGGGGCTCGCCCTTGGTGACCGCAAGTACAGACAATCCAATCCGGATGCACCAGAGCCCAACCTGACAGGTACCCACTTGACGCAGGCAAAGTTCAGCTGCCCGGTATGTGGCAGTGAGTTCGCAACCGCAGCAGGTCTTCACCAGCATCTCAGCCTGCAACATCCTCACACCACGGTTCAACAGACCTTCCAACCACTCCGTGACCAGGTCCCAGGGGAATTGAAATGCGCTCATTGTGACGCTTCATTCCTGACCTTGAAGGCCCTGAAGCTG